GCGTTACGCCCGGCCGGCCACGCAGGCACGTAGCAGGGCCGAGCTGCACCTCTCAGGAGCCCAGAGGCACGCGCACAGCAGGCAGGGAGGGGGACTAAAGGAGCCGAGTGCCCGAGTCTGTCCCGAGGCCGGGCCCTGCCCTGCCCCTCGGCCCTCACTGCGCCCCAGCAGCAGAGGTTTCTGAGAGCCATTAGCCAGCACAGATCTCAGCTGGGGCCTCGAGCTGCCGTGCAGGGCAGGACGGCGGCTGCGGAGCTGCAGGAGGCGGAAGCAGCATGAGGCCGTGGGGCGGCTCTGGGGGCGAGGAGCAGGGCTGTGGGGCGGAGCGGGGCCATGAGGCCGTGGGGCGGCTCTGGGGGCGAGGAGCAGGGCTGTGGGGCGGAGCGGGGCCATGAGGCCGTGGGGCGGCTCTGGGGGCGAGGAGCAGGGCTGTGGGGCGGAGCGGGGCCATGAGGCCGTGGGGCGGCTCTGGGGGCGAGGAGCAGGGCTGTGGGGCGGAGCGGGGCCATGAGGCCGTGGGGCGGCTCTGGGGGCGAGGAGCAGGGCTGTGGGGCGGAGCGGGGCCATGAGGCCGTGGGGCGGCTCTGGGGGCGAGGAGCAGGGCTGTGGGGCGGAGCGGGGCCATGAGGCCGTGGGGCGGCTCTGGGGGCGAGGAGCAGGGCTGTGGGGCGGAGCGGGGCCATGAGGCCGTGGGGCGGCTCTGGGGGCGAGGAGCAGGGCTGTGGGGCGGAGCGGGGCCATGAGGCCGTGGGGCGGCTCTGGGGGCGAGGAGCAGGGCTGTGGGGCGGAGCGGGGCCATGAGGCCGTGGGGCGGCTCTGGGGGCGAGGAGCAGGGCTGTGGGGCGGAGCGGGGCCATGAGGCCGTGGGGCGGCTCTGGGGGCGAGGAGCAGGGCTGTGGGGCGGAGCGGGGCCATGAGGCCGTGGGGCGGCTCTGGGGGCGAGGAGCAGGGCTGTGGGGCGGAGCGGGGCCATGAGGCCGTGGGGCGGCTCTGGGGGCGAGGAGCAGGGCTGTGGGGCGGAGCGGGGCCATGAGGCCGTGGGGCGGCTCTGGGGGCGAGGAGCAGGGCTGTGGGGCGGAGCGGGGCCATGAGGCCGTGGGGCGGCTCTGGGGGCGAGGAGCAGGGCTGTGGGGCGGAGCGGGGCCATGAGGCCGTGGGGCGGCTCTGGGGGCGAGGAGCAGGGCTGTGGGGCGGAGCGGGGCCATGAGGCCGTGGGGCGGCTCTGGGGGCGAGGAGCAGGGCTGTGGGGCGGAGCGGGGCCATGAGGCCGTGGGGCGGCTCTGGGGGCGAGGAGCGGGGCCGGGGGGCGGAGCGGGGCCATGAGGCCGTGGGGCGGCTCTGGGGGCGAGGAGCAGGGCTGTGGGGCGGAGCGGGGCCATGAGGCCGTGGGGCGGCTCTGGGGGCGAGGAGCAGGGCTGTGGGGCGGGGCAGGCCTGGCTCACTCACCAGGGTCTCCTCCTCCGACAGGCCGGCCTCGGCCGCGACGAGACACAGGGTGGTGGGGTCCGGGTGCTTGTTGACCCTGCTGAAGTTGTGCTCCAGGATCTCCAGCTGCTCCGCCGTGGGGCCCCTGGGCTGCTCGGTGGCCATGTCCGCTCTGCACAGGGCCTGGGCGCGCGAGGGGCTGAGGAGAAAGACGGGGGGGCGGAGGGGTTCTTGCCTGAGCCCAGGGCAGGTGCGGAGCCACGGCCTGGCTCAGGGCACA